GAACCCAGGGCCTTGGTGTTATCAGCACCGCACTCTCCCGAGTGAGCCACGGGCCGGCCTGATCAATTCTAATCTATAACTTTTGGGGGAGGTGTATTGATACATATTTGAGTGTGTGTGTGTGTGTGTGTGTGTGTGTGTAGCAGGTTATAATCCTTAGCTTTGGTTTTTATTTTTATTTTTTTGGCAGCTGGCTGGTATGGGAATCCGAACCCTTGACCTTGATGTTTCAAGACTGCACTATAACCAACTGAGCTAACTGGCCAGCCCTTAGCTTTGGTTTTTAATAAGAGTTTTGAAAATTCATTATAACTACAGAAGTTTCCTTCCAGTTTTTATTCCGTCGTCTTCATTCCCTTTGGAAATAGTGGACCTGACCCAATTCTTTTTTGAGAATTCATTTCAGAGAACAGTGTGTTAGAATATTTTTGTTCTTCTAATCAAGTGCAATGTAAGAACTGACAGGTGTCCATGGTTTCTGTTCTTTAACATGCAAATAATCTTGCTTCTTTGTTAAAATATTAGCTTTATTATTATGTTTATTGGTCCTGTGATAGCAGAGTTTGATCTGAGGAACTTAGCTACTTCATACATAAGATAAATTGCTCTTTCTCTACAAACATTTTTTATCTTGATTTTGTTAGTCATTTAAGTTTCCAACAGCGATCCTTGACGTATGTTCTAAAAGAATATCATATATATTGGAAATTAAATTTGTTGTTGAATAAAATTTGGATTATTAGAAAATTCAACATGACTGTATTGCTACATCTGGATTTCTTGATAAAAAATTGATGCAGCCACCTCTTTGATTTAGGATGCCGTGCAAGTCTTGATAAGTTGACCTCTAGTCTGAAAATAAGTTTTGTTGAGAGATAAAACATATATTGGATCAACTCTTAATGATTATACTTTGAAAGTATTTATTTTTATGTATTTTTTTAAAGTTTTTATTTTTAAAATTTCTTTTTATACTTCTTAAGTATTTAGAAAGGAAAATTGAGAACCACTTACAATATGTAATGTTGGATGTCTATTAAAATGTTCTTTCCCACTACATAGGCCTATGTATCCAGTATTTTACATTCATAAAGTTTTTATTTTTAAAATTTCTTTTTATACTTCTTAAGTATTTAGAAAGGAAAATTGAGAACCACTTACAATATGTAATGTTAGATGTCTATTAAAATGTTCTTTCCCACTACATAGGCCTATGTATCCAGTATTTTACATTCATGTAGCAGAGATTGCATTAAAGGAATACTTGGTTATGAAACATCTATTCATACTTGTGTAGATATGGAGCTAGGAAACTTTCCATATTACCTCTTAATAGCCCAATAATTGTTTTTCTCAAGAGTTTAAACTGTTATTCACTTTAGAATAATACTTGAAATGTTCTTGTTTATTTTATATCCATAATATATAACCGTTCCTGATTCTGATTTATTGGATGAAGAATGAATTAATAAAAGTATAGTGTGTGTGTAGATGTATGTGTGTGTGTATCTTCCTCAAAGGATTGTCAACAGGGGCATGATATGGGAAGTTTTCGTTAATAAATATATTCTCTGTCCTTTTTAAAAATGCAGTTAGTGGTATCCTTCATGCTGTTCTACACTTTGCTGTTATTACATAATGCGATGATTGTGTAATATTCCATTACATAGATAAATCATAATTTATTTTTAATTGTGATAAAATACACATAACATGAAATTTGACATCTTAACCATTTTAAGTGTATGGTTTAGTATTGTTAAGTATACTCACATTGTTGTGCAACCAATCTCTAAAACTTTTTCATCTTGCAAAACTGAAGCTCTAGCCGGTTAGCTCACTTGGTTAGAGGGTGGTGCTAACACTGAGGTCACAGGATCAGATCCCCAGACTGCTGGGTGCCAAAAAAAAAAAAAAAACCCCAAAACACAACACATACAAAACTGAAGCTCTATACCATTAAACGATAATTTCCCTTCCAATAGCCCCTGGCAACCGCCATTTTATTTTCTGTTTCTATGAATTTGAGCTAGTCTCTCTTTTCATCTTTGCTCTTGCACACAATGCTGCAATAAATAGCCTTGCATATGTGTCATTTTGCCCATAAATGAGTACATCTGTAGGATGAGTTCTTAGAAGTAGAATTTGCTGGGTAAAAAGGTTTGCGCATTTCTTAAATTTGAAATATAGTGCCAAAATGACTTCCAAAAAGACTGTAGCAATTTATACTACTCCCAGCAATTTACCAGCTGTTTAAATATGTTTCAATAAAGTTAGCTTGTCAGCTGAACTGAACCAGGAACTTGGGAAAGGAAAGGCCACTCTGAAGAAAAGTTGGTGCTGCTACATTTTGCAAGAGGCTAGGCTATTCCTTAAGGAGCATTTGATATCATCCTTTAATGTAGCTTCCATGTCATATTCATTTTAAATTTTTTTAAATACATTTTTCACAGACATTGTAAGCTATTTGAATATTAGTAATAATGTCTGCTAGTATGATTGGAATACCTCACTTTGCAAGTAGATACCACAACTTAATATGTGTTTGGCTCAGCTGAAAATTTCCTTAATAGAAAATTTTAATATCCTTAAAATGAGTGGATAGATGCCTTGCTTAAAAATATTTTAATAGAAAGAAAAAATCAGCAAAACCCTTTTCTCAAATGAGCTATTATGAAGAGATCCACTGTATTATGAGGAGCTCCACTATATTGGGGTGACAGTGGGGGGTGAGCAGGGAAGAGGGAGGCTGGGAGAGGTTAAGTAGTTGGGCTCCAGTTCTCCCCATCCCTATTTCATCCAGAACTGTTACTCACAGTGGCTCAAAGTTTTTCTTTATAGCAGTAGATGAAAGGAGGATAGGGTAAAAGTGAATACTAATGTATAATTAGCCTCTTGTAGTTCATATTAGGCATTTGAGGAACCCTAGAAGCTTCTTTGTAGAATCCTGATGTTTGAAAACTGATGCTTGATTTTATTTTTTCTGTGAAGTAAATGTGCTATAAAATGAAGCATAACTACGTAGAAATACCGCTATTTTCCTTAGAGTGTGCATATAGGTTTTGTTGTAATTACTTTTCATCTGGAGATTTTAAATAAATTTAGCATCTTTATTAGTTTTCTTATTTTAAAGTGAAAATACTTACTTTTTAATTTTTTGTTTATTTATTTTTTTAAAAAGATGACCGGAAAGGGGATCTTAACCCTTGACTTGGTGTTATCAGCACCATGCTCTTCAAGTGAGCAAACCGGCCATCCCCATATAGGGAACTGAACCCGTGGCCTTGGTGTTATCAGCACCACAATCTCCCGAATGAGCCACGGGCCGGCCCAATACTTACTTTTTAAAATGTTTGAATATTTTCTTATAAAGTAGAATTTGGAGGGTTCTGGGAACCACCTCACCAAAAGATGATCAGTATTAATAGTTTGGAATTCATTCCCCCAGACTTTTTTCAGCACATTAAATAACATGTAAATTTTATTCCTTCTTTAGAAAAAAATGAGATCGTGTTATATATATTGTTTTGAGATTTGCTTTGTTTAATTGTTAACATGTCTTTTTTGGGATAGTGTACAGAGGTACCCTCCCTTCTTTTAATGGATTTATACTCTTAAGTTATATCTTAATTTTCTTGTCCATTCTTCTGTTGGCGAACATTTAAATTGTAATAAGCATCCTTTATACATATGTCTTTCCCATTTGGACAAATGTTTCTGTAGGATAAAGTCTAGGAAATAGAACTTCTATTTCCAAGGACCATTTTTGTTTTAATGGATATTTTGGGGCTCTATAAAATATCAATGTTCTGATTTTTATAGAAAATAAACTTAGTTTTAAACGTTCAGAAGTTTTAGCTATGTAACTTCTCATCATTGATGTACACCATCTTTTCTTTTTTTTTTTTTTTTACCATTTTTTTTCTAATATAAGGTTTCTAATAATGTAAACATCTTTAAAATGACAGCTTTGAAACTTTTTATTCTCACAGTGATGGAATGGGGGGAAGATATTAAAGCAATTTCAAAAGATGAAGCAATGATGTTGGTGAATCATCAGGCAACAGGAGATGTGTGCACTCTGATGATGTGCCTCCAGGACAAAGGAATGGTAAGCTCTCTTGAAGGCAGCAGGCAGACATCTAGAAGGGGCAGGCCAAAAAAGGATCAAGTGTCTTACTATAGTAGGAACATAGACTTAGACTTACATATGTATACTTTTCCTGAGAATTTAGAAAATATTAAAAAGAAGTAATATATCATTCTAAGTCATTCCAGGAGAGAAATTTAGAGACTTAAAAAAAATAACCGGGATAATGTGAATTATGTCTGAATAAAACTGTTTTAAAAAATAATAACTGGAATGAAAGCAAAGTTAATATAGTTCAAATTGAAGGCCATCTTGAGGTGAAGTGGCGGATCTCCAGTTTGAGCAATACAATCACAAAATGCAGTATTGCTTAAGACAGAAGAGTAAAATTTCTCAGTGAGTTAGGTGATCTTGGGGATCTTTGGCCAGAAGAAAATAAAGTTAGTGTTATTCTGTGTTTTATTTACAAAGTAAATTGAAACTTGTTTTATCCAGTGTTACTAAGGCTGTGTTTGAACTGTTGATTTTACATTGCTTATATTGATAACTAAAATATATTTACAAAGTGAGTGGATTTAAAAAATAAATTTGGTCTTTAGCATTAGAAGAATTATCAGCTTACAAGATAAAGAGGTTATACTTACAGAAAACTAAGTAAATGGAAAGTGTCTAAAATTAATGGAGTTATTGTTTGGCCTAATAGTAAATAAATAAATCAATAGATGTTCAGTAAGTGCTTAACAGTCATGATCACTGACCATAAGAGGTGGACACCATCCTTTCTCATCAAGGAGCTAACAGTCCAGTGGCAGGAGGTAGGAGGGTATCATAAGCAATACTGAATTGCAAAGTGAGAGGTCTGCAGTGGAGGGTGAACTTGCCACGTACCTGATGGATATAGAAAACTTTGTGTAAGGGAGAAGACATAAACATGGCTTTGAAGGATGAATAAAATTTTGGCAGGTAGAGTTGTGAAACAGAGGCCTTCTTCCTTAGTGAAACAATCTTGGCAAAAAAATCGAGGCAAGAATAAGCCTGGTGTGTTTAGGTCCTAGAGATTTTGACTCACTAGGTCAGGGTAGGGTCAGAAAATGTAGTGAGATAAAAGGAAAGTATGTTTGATTATTGCAGAATCTATTGTTTTTCTTGTTTACCTGAAAAGCAGAGGCATAATCTGGCTGGAATGTAGAATAAATTCAATTCTTTCTTGTATTCAAAATCTGTAATAGTTAAACAAAAGAATATCACTGTTTATATATTTGAATGGCTGGCTGGTTAGCTCATTTGGTTAGAGTGCAGCCCATGACACTAAGGTAAAAGGTTCAGATTCCTGTACTGGCCGGCCACACACACACACACACACACCACACACACACACACACACACCACACACACACACACACACACCACACACACACACACACACACCACACACACACACACACACACCACACACACACACACACACACCACACACACACACACACACACCACACACACACACACACACACCACACACACACACACGTATATATATTTGTACTTATAATAATATTTATTGCTTGTCCCCTAAACTCATGATGTTAAAATTTTGTAAAAACTAATTTATTGGCTTTCTATAAAAGAGAATCCCCAATTGGCTAATATTTTTATTCTTACTGATATAATAATTACATTTGTAGTGATTATTCTGAGGACCTACAATGTCCTTAAGTAGTTTTTTAATCTCAAAGAATGATTAAAATGGTCAGTATAAATATGCTGTATTCTAACTGTATAAATATGCTGTATTCAAACTGTATTCTAACTCCAGTTTGGCAGAGATCATAACTGTATTAACCAGAATATTACATAGTGTGAAATTTATCAGTCATGTGGACAAAAGAAAGGTTGGTTAGTTTATTTGCTTTTGCAAAAAGATTTGAGTTAGATTTGATTTCTGTCCCAAGTGACTTTGTTTTTATTTTCCAATTAGTTAATTCTGAGCATTTTTATAGTGCTCTGGTATTACCAAATAATTTGAAATCTATAAGAATTTTTGTCTTCTTTCATAAAGGAGTAATTGAGAAAGATAAATAATCTCCACTTCCTGCCTAATAAGTACAAGGCAGTATTGATTTATATTTACCAGTAGGAATGTTTACTTGACATACTTTATATTCAAGGGTACGTTCAAAGAAGGAAGGCTATTGCTAAATTGTGGGACAGTTAAAAAAATATTACACTAATGGTGATGTGATTGTAACATAGCTTTTTGAATGCAGGAAACTTGTTGGAGTGCCCATCAGTGTTTCTCAGTGGGGGTACTGTTGGCATTTTGGTAGGACCACACTGTTGTCTGGAGCTGTCCTGGGCATTGCCAGATGTTTGCCTACCTGACTGTTACCCACTAAATGCTAGTAGCACTCCCTAGTCTTTGTGACAACCAAAATTGTCCTTCTGGATTTCCATAGTCATCCTATGGAGAACCATTGACCTTATTATAATTTCAAAAGGACATAAAGAGTGGAGTCATTTATTTAAGTCTTCTCTAGATGATGTTTTGATATGTAGAAAATCTGTGCTTCTAAATAAAGAATAATTGATGTAGACTAATTTTGTTTCTTAGAAATAACTAACAAAGTTCTGAGCAACAGACCTATCAAACATTGACAGAGTTGACTCAGGCAGCTGTGTTGGCTGATCTTTTTTTTTTTTTTTGAAGAATACAAGGATACTTCAAAAAGTTCATGGAAAAGTAGAATTAAAAGATAATATGAATCTTTCTGTGAACTTTTTGAAGTATCCCTGTATGAAACAAAAGATTAATTGCATTTTCCAAATGTGCTGGTACCTTTTTAATAAGTATCTGTGAAGTGAGTGAAGAGTATTGCCCTTTTATGGTAATTTATGATAAAACTAAGAATTTTCATTTCTGTCAAAGAACTTTCTTAAATGTTTAATAAACATTTATTGACTTATAACATTTCTCCCAAAATAAGTTAGGACAGAATTATCTATACAAATCTTAGAAGATAGCTTGTCTGTCCTACTAAATTTATTCGTTTTAGGTGACTCTTATAACTGAAGAGGTAAATCCAACATAAATTAAAACTTAAAAGCTAGTTACTTTAGTGTTGGTGTCTTCTTTTTTTTTTGGCAGCTGGCCAGTATGGGGATCCGAACCCATGACCTTGGTGTTATAAGGCTGTGCTCTAACTAGTGTTGGTATTTTAAACCTAGACCAACACATTACAGCTATACTTTATACTTTGTATAAAGCTTAAATGCTTTATAGGTTGGATTCACTTGATTTTTTGTTTGTTTCTTGAGGCAGTTTCCAACAAATTCCATTTAATTCAAATCTCAATTTATTTAAACAAAGCAGCCATCATTGCAAAGCAAAACAAGACTGAAAATGAGATGCTGGTGGTTAAATGTTTTATTTGAGGTATTAACTTTTTATATTTTATCATTAAGGTACACTCATTTTATAAAGCTCTAGTGCTTATTAATTAAATGTATATCCCTCATTTGATAACTTTAACTGTTTTATTGTATTGTTTCAAAATAATTTTACAAGTTAATTTTACAAGAACTACCAGAGACTTTGTTTAGGGTACAACAGATGTGAAATCATTAAGTGCAGACTTAAGTTAATTCAGCTTCACTGTGACTTAGGATTCCAAGACTTGGAATCAAGACCTGTAATTTTTCATGTAGACTCTATTAGTAACTGTGTATATTTGTATAAATAGCATTAGGTTTAAGATATTTAGGTTAATTAAGAGTATGCTTAGGTGATTATATTTAAAATTTGGAGACTTGGCTAGACTATAGTTAGTTTTCTTCTATCCGTCATTTAATTATTTCTTGCTTTTAAATATTTAGGTTGTTGCTCAAATGATGTGGTTGATGGATCATATCTTTAAGTATACAAACTTTGGAATTGTTTCTCTAATTCACGGAGACTTCTTTATAAGACAGGTAAGTAATGAGCATTTTTTTCCCACAGTGAAAGCCTTTTCAGACTGATTCTTGATTATAAAAAGAGGTGTAACAAAACAAATTATAATAGATAGGGCCATTTCTGGTGTCTCAGGGAGCTCTTTTTCTGAATCTTTGTTCCCTAAACATTTATTTCAATTTGAATTTGAGTATGCATAAGTATTAAAATGCTTATAATGCAAATATCCTAATCTCTACTCTCCTCCCGTCTAGAGGGTATAGTGCCGTTTAGTAAACATTTATCAAGCACCTGCCACATTCCCTGCTCTTCAACTTCTTAGCTATGTGAATTAGTCAAATTACTTAAATGCTCAAAGTTCCTTTGTTTTTCAGATGAATAATAGTACCCCCTCAGTTGGTCGTTGTAAGGATTAAATGAAGCACTGCATGTAAAGCACTCAGAACTACCTTCATCATCATTTTTATCATGATTACACTATCATTACCTATAGCATCACTGTTATTTTTATTTACAAGGCACTGTTATATGATATAGAAGGTATCTAAATTTACCAGTAGGGAGATTATTAAATAAATAATAAATATAATAATAGGAAATGTTGGGAATTCATAGTAGGAAAAGTGAACACATCGGATATCTGTGAATCCATTAAAACTTTAGAGGAGAAGATTATATTTGGCATAAATTTTGAGAATGGGTGTGTATTTGATGGAGAAAGGTGAATTGGGAAGGGTCCCAAGCATTAGGAATAGTTGAGTGTAAGAAAGAGAATCATAGCTTCTTATCACGTCATTGCTACATTATAGTATTTCCCTTATATGCTGCTCATATCACATGCTTTATTTTCTCCAAAGTGGATAACTGAAATATGATATGTAAGAGTTTTTATGTGTGGTAATACCACACTTACCTGGTGTTTATATATTGAGCAACTTTAACCTGGATTGTGCAGTGCCTTACATGTAATAAGTACTGAATGAATAACTGGTGAGTCTAATTAAGCCTCTTCTAAGAACACAAATTCAAAAATAAGGGGGAAGCGAGTAGGAAAACTTCTAAGTTCTGTGAAAATACGTGTCATAAAATACATATACTTTACTCCAGACAATTTTATGTACAGAGTGTACTTTTTTCACATGCAGTGCAGTTATCGTGTTTCTTCTGAGCAGAGACAAATAGAAGCACAGACTGGATCCTCAGGACGAAGTGGCAGTGGGAATTGGCCACAAGGTCAAGATAAAATAAGCAGTGCTCAGAACAACTTAACAAAGAACCTAGCCTAGTATTTCAGAGAAGACAGTAGAACCAGCAACTGGAAAGCTTAGCAGTCCTGGGGAATCCAGTGGAAAAACTAACTCAGCCCCTTAGATCATTTCCAGTCTGAAGAAATTATTGAATTTATAGGGTAGTATAACAATTGACCCTAAAGATAATCTTCAGGCATCAAGAAGAGGCTAAGTCATAATATATTATTAGTGTACTTGGAGGGTATAAAAGTCAAAAATTATGTATTCCAAAATGTTTTCCTTGTTATTACAGTATAAAGTTTTGTATACTTAAAGACTATATCTCAAAGTGTCTAGGAGATTTGAAAATTTATTTCTAAAGAGCAACATTTTCCCCCAATAGATTAGATAAAAATCTATAGCATGGAGGGAGAGAAGAGAAAAGGTATTAATGTCAAAAAAAAAAAAAAAAAAAGGTTTCTTGGGACTTTGCTACTAGACCATTTTGATAAGATTTTTGAAGAATAGTAAAAATATTTTATGTGTAGTCTTAGGAACTTAATAGCTATCTTAATCATAATCAATTTAATTAGTAAACTAGCTAAGAAAATGTCTTACTTGTTCTGCACTTGGGATACACTTAGCCTACAGACAGAAAGCATAGTAATTATTTTGAGGATCTTCCGTAATTGTAATTGCTGGAAAATTATTAGCAAATTGATCACACTGAAAGGAAGAACCTTTGTGATATTTAGTTGTGTAGGTTTGGGGCCTTCCTCCAAATTTTTCTAGATTCTTCTTTTTAAGTCATCCTCTTTCTTCTCTTTCCCTCACAACTAAGATCTAGTCCATGAGAATGTCCTGTTAGCTTTATTTTCAAATTCTTTTCTGAAAGTACCCCTTTCTCATCAGTACACTGTAATCGAATCTCATCAAACTCCCTTGTGTAGACTGCTGCAAAAGTGTCTTAATTATCTCCTGCAGTCTTTTTGTCACAGGAACCAGCAGATTTTTTAAAAATACAAATAAGATTATGATACTTCCTTGTCCAAAACTGTACACTGATTTCCCACCCAAAACTACTTACTTTGCTCAAGGCCCTTCTTAGTTAGTTGGTCTCCACCTCCTGCTGCACTTTCATCTCCTACCACAGTATCCTCGTTCATCACACTTCAGCCACGCGGGCCTTGATGCTGTTCTTTGAACTTGCCAAGCTCGTCCCCACCTCAGGGCCTTTGGCCTTTCCTCCTCGTCACCTAGAGTGTTCTGCCTGTCATCTTCACATGGCTTATTCCCTTACGTTATCAGCTCTTTGCTCAAATGTGATCTCAAATCAGCTTTCCCTGAACTTCTCGACCCTTTCTATCCTCTTACTCTTTCTTTCATAGCACAAATCACCAATTGAGTTTACACTCCATATCTAGTATCTTACCAAACTAGAGTAAAGTTCCACAAGGTCTCTTATTTACTCCTCTGTCTCTAGTGTCTAGGACAATGCTTGGCAAATAGTAGGGCCTCAGTAAGTAGTCACTGAATTGAGGAATGACTGAACTTTCACGGCAGTCAGAGCAATTTGCTTTTCCTTCAGGAGGAAAGATTAAAAGTGCTAATAACTTCTCTCTTACCATTGTGGTCAAAAAAAGAAATAAGTTGGGGGGGAAATCACTATTCTGTTCTAAGGTTGGATTCTAATGTAGAAGTTGTTATTTCTATTTAATTTTATGGCATTTTAATTTCAGATTACCTGTACTTATTATATGTATGTACCTTCTAGGGAAAATCTTATCGTGACCAACAGCTGCTTCTTCTCAAGAAGCACCTAGAAAATAATTACAGGAGCAGAAATCGAAAATGGATTGTTTTGTTTCCAGAAGGGGGCTTCCTCAGGAAGAGGCGAGAAACAAGTCAGACATTTGCCAAGAAAAATAACTTGCCATTTCTTACACACGTCACTCTGCCAAGGTTTGGGGCAACAAAAATTATTTTGAGTACACTTGTAGCACGACAGGAAAATGGAAATCCAGCAGGAGGAGATGCTAAAGAATTAGGTATGATGGTTTTTAGCATTTTTTTACCTTGTTAGAATTAAAGGATTTTCTGGAGTTCTAGAAGATGGTAATTGTTTTTTTTTTAATATTTATAATTTTTATCAAATAGAAATAATAATCAGGGAGAAGATGAAGCTATAATTTTTTTAATGTTTCTATTTATAAAAGTAGTCTATGCTTACGATAATTTATTCAAAGTCAAAGGTGTCTTTCCCCTGTCCTACCTATCCTTACTCTGGACTTTTCTCACTGCTGCAGTAAACATTTCTGTAAATATTTTTACATATTTGTCAAACTATTTCTGTAGTATAGATTCCTAGAAGTGGACTTGCTAGATTAGAAGATATAGATATAGAAACGACTTATTTGAAAAACTAATCATAGATATGCAAAAACAAATAGTGATACAGGAAGTTTTTGTTTATCTTTAATACAAGAATTAATTTAATGTATTTGCCAGCATTTATTAAGAACCTTTGGGCCGGCCCGTGGCTCACTCGGGGGAGTGCGGTGCTGATAACACCAAGGCCCCGGGTTCAGATCCCATATAGGGATGGCCAGTTCGCTCACTGGCTGAGCGTGGTGCTGACAACACCAAGTCAAGGGTTAAGATCCCCTTACCGGTCATCTTTTAAAAAAAAAAAGAACCTTAAACTGTTAATAAATGTTGCATTATTCCACTGCAAATAATATTAAAAGGAAATAATCTGAAGCATAAAGCAGTTTATCACAGCAATATTTATAATAGCAAAAAATTGAAATAGCCAGAGGGAGAATAATGAGTAATTATGAAATATCCATAAAATGGAATACAACACAGCCATTACAGATGATGTTTATGGAGAGATTCTATTGGCTTGGACAAATGCTTATACTGTAATGTTAATAGGGCGGGGGGAACACACAACTCTCATGAAAGCAGTGTGAGCTCAGGTCTGTAAACAATAAGATAGTAGGAAATGAGTGAAAGGAAAGATACCAAAATGTTGGCAGCGATTGCTTCTCTGAATTGTAACATTATGGATGATTTTTCCCCATTTCTTAATACTTTTCTGAATTTTACATTTTTTAATAATGAGTAAGTATTACTTTTATGGCCAGGAAAAAGGAAACCACACTAAAAGATGCAGTTATCTTGGAGATAGCCTGGTAAATCATGACGTTTTGCAGGAGGTATTTGTGCCAACCGCATGAAGACTGTTTTGAACAAGTTTTAAGATACTACTGTGAAAGTTTGATTATATATTCAAAGATTGAAAGATACTCACTAGATCTGTTTCCTTAGTAGTATTTGTCTAGTTCTTTTAATATTCTTTAGATAAAATATAAATTGAAGTGATTGGCCCTTGGCCCTCAGAAATAGGTGTTTTTAAATGGCACTGAGGGCTAGACATAGAAATAGTACCGTGAGATTGCACCAAATTTTCCTTTCGTTTGTTTTTTCCAAGCAGCTGCTTGGCAGTCGGCTCTCTTAATCTTTCACCATCTATTAAAAAGACAAATTGAAAGAGTCTTTTAATAGAAAAGGAAAGTTCAGAATAGCTTCACTGCTGAAGAGATACTGTGGCAATGTCAGCCAAGCCAAAGCTTGAAGGCCAAGGTTTTCCAAACAGGATTAGTTGCACTAATAAAGACTGATATTTTAAAATAGTTCCACCCAGTGAATACCGTGTAGTGTTCTAGATCTCAATGGTAGGGGCAATTGTCTGATTGCATAATATTGAAGAAAAACAGTTCTTTGTTTTGTAGAAAACAATTTGTTTATAACCGGAACAAAGTAGTTTATTATTTATCATACTTTGGTTAAAATTTTTTATTCTAGCTGTTTAGGAAAATCATAAATATACCCCAAAAACTAGTTTTACCTGTATTTTACTATTTTCTATGTTTTGGTATTTTGCATTTTCTTTAGTGTTCACATTCATTAGTGTTTATTCCATGTGAACACAAACCATGCCGTTGTGTTTGTTTTTATATGTGAGCCATACATATATATCAAATTAAGTTCTCCTGATTAACTTTAAAAGGTTCGTATTTCTTTTGTTTGTTTATTATGTGATTTAACAGATATTAAACTGAACTCTGGTGACTTTTTTCCCCATTGTTTTATTATAAAAAGTTGAAACAATTTTACAGTGGATATCCATGAGCTGACCAACTAGATTCTGTTATTGACATTTTACTATTTTGGCTTTTTCACATCTCTCTCCATCCTTCTGTCCATCCATTAGTTCATCCTGGTTTCTTTTATTAATGCCTCTCAAAATAAGCTGCAGACATCAGTATACTTTATCCCTAAACGTTTCAGGATGTACATCACTGGTATCTTGTTAAAATGTGTTTCTTTACATAAACTCTGGTCCTTTAGCAATATGTTATTTAAAAATTAATTTTTAATTTCACTTGTTTTACAGGTACTTTTCCCCTTTCAGAATGTTGTTCTAAAGTCTTTAAAGAATTTAAAGCCAGTTTTAAATATTTGACATACAAAAGTAATGTATCATTGACTCCTAATGCATATTTGGACTTACACTTCAAAATGAGTCTTTTCAGGGATGTCTTAGATACCTCAAACAAAGAATAGACCATTACACTTTAAACTCTGGCTATCAGCATTCTCTGTGAGGATTCCCTGCTCAATTCTTGTCCAACTTTGTACTCCATGCTGGGAGCAAAAACAGTGTGCAAAGGACCAACCTAAGCAGAACTTCCCCATCCCCTCTCCACAGCAGTAGTTACCTGTTGTACCTTCCAGGGAGCAGGAAGGTTTATTGCTTTATTTGTACATAACTCTTGCTAAAATTGGGAGTTATTTTGCTTTGGATTAAACAGAGCAGCAACTAACAATAATGTGTGCCCCCCAAAATGCTTAATTTTATTGCCATTTATCAATATTTGTTAATGTCTCCCAAGTAGCACAAATCTTGGTGTTTGTGTTATGTTGTTACACTTAGTGAATAGTTTTGTTTTGAAGTCTGTTTTTCATTTTCATGATGTGATACTTTAGCTTCTTTATCAATATTTGTTAATGTCTCCCAAGTAGCACAAATCTTGGTGTTTGTGTTATGTTGTTACATTTAGTGAATAGTTTTGTTTTGAAGTCTGTTTTTCATTTTCATGATGTGATACTTTAGCTTC